CATATAAACACATCATTTTCTCAAATCCCAGGTTCTAAAAGCAAACAAGTTGATCATGGATGTCTCGCGTTTTTTAAACAATAACTTACCATTTAGTATTTTGCACATGATTATTACACTAATTAAGTAGGCGACAATATAATTTTTAAAATAACCGAAACATGACCTTTTCATAAGAGATGTGTACTAGTTTGTTTTCAATTTACTATTAGCCTACAAATAATTTCAAATATTTATAAATATTTTAAAAAGGGATTCTTTTCACAATTTTCTCAATAAGATATCTATTTCACATCATTTTCATACTTGTTTTTCAATAGAGTAATAATTTCACATTATTTTACTATTCTAGATCATTTTGAAGCACTTCCCTTTTAAAATATGTTAAAAAATCTTATTTACAGTTTTGCCACTACATGGTTTTTGCCAATTTTGGTTATCTAGCAAAATATTGGGATAAAGGAAAAAGAACAAACCGTGGGTCTCATTTTGGGCGTCTTCTCTTCTACGTTTGCGATCTCTAACCCAATCGACGATACTTGAACACTCAACATCGCCGCTACGAGTCATCTCGATCCGAAGAAGACGGTCGGAGAACTTAACGTTGTTGTAAGCGAACCCAAAACTGCCGTCTGAATCCGCATTCATACCCATCGTTGATTAAATTTGGTTAAATTAATTTAGCTGTAAGAGAGTTCAGTTTGATAAACCAGAAGAGTTGGAGAAGATCTGTTGTGGAAGGGTATGCGAATTTATAAGGTTTCAAACAAAAGGAAAGCTCATTGGCTGTAACGGAGCCATTCAACGTTTCCTTCTCGGGTGCGTTCTACATATACATACAACCCATAAGTCATGTCATTAATGTCTCTAGATAAACATCATTAAATATAATTTGATAGAATTTGTACTAAAATGGACATTTTACCTAAAGAATATCAGAAAACAATGACTGTGATTACTATTCTTTTACCAAAATTAACATATGCTATCTAATAAACTTAGGTATGAAAATTAATTCACACTTTTTTTATTCAAACTTCCCTTTTGTAATTTTGAAAATAAAAGGTATTACATTATGTCAAGATTGGTTCCTTTGTGAATGTTTGTTCTAGAATATATTGCCAATTCTTTAGTCAATATTGATTTGAACTTATCAGTTACTTAAGAAGGAAAAACAACCTTCACCATTGACAAATAAAACTCTGAATTTATTGTTATGGGTAGATAATAAAAATCCTGAATTTTTTATTAAAGATAAGATAACTCCATGCTAATAAAATGGTCTAAAATCTCCTTTTTATATATATTAAAGCAGAAAATATAAGATAAGATTTATATTTGTTTTACATTTAGTTTTACAATCTACGATGTGTTTCATATATCATCTATCATTTTTTTGTTTATTTATAGAACTTGTAAACTAAATATTATGAAATATGTAGAAACAAATTTTTAGCTTCCATGATTTTTAGAAAGTTACTCGTGATAGTTTATGAATTGATAAAATTCTTTTAGTGAAAAGTCAAGTCAATTCTAACCAAAATTGTGTAAAACATTATTTTAGGGCATATAATTCAAGATTATTTAAATTATAAGAAATATATTTAATTGAGAATAACAAATTATTTAAACAGTATACCACTTTGTCGACATATAGAACGTGAATTTTACCTTTTATGAAATTAAGTAATAAATTTAAATGAACTAGATCATTCTAATCGTTAAAATGATACATATGCAAAATATTTTAAAATTGTGAATTTTATCTTTTCTGAAATTATATAATGAATTTATGTGAATCAGATTATTTAAGTTGCTAAATTGATATATATGCAAAGTATTTTAAAATTGCGAAGCTTACCTTTTCTGAAATTAGATAATGAATTTATGTGAATCGGATCATTGAAGTTGCTAAAATGATATATATGCAAATTATTTTAAGGTTGTGAATTTTACCTTTTCTGAAATTAGATAATGAATTTATGTGAATCGGTTCATTTAAGTTGCTAAAATATATATATGCAAATTATCTTGAATTTTACCTTTTTGGAATTTAGATAATAAAACTAAGTAGATGGGATCTTGTTAATCTTTTACATAGTACTAGGTATATAATTCGCGCTACGCGCGAGTTTGTATTAATATTTTGTTTTAATTTTTTTTAGTTACTATCTTTAAAATTATTAAAATATAATATATTTATAGTATTTTTCATTTATACAAGAGAACTTAATATAGAATGTGTAATTTATCCTATTTTTATTTATAAATTTTATTAGATAAAATAATAACAATGACACCTATCGAATTATCCAACTTTGACGTATATATACATGTGATTTTGAGAAATATTTTCTTGCTAAGATTTTGATATTATTTTCTGTTTTCCATAGAATTTCTATAGTTTTTTTTTGAAGGTTTATGTGTTCAAATATTCAGTTTTTTTATTAAAAGTCTTATTGATGTTGTGTACCACTACATATATAATACATGATTCATGTTGATTCGCATTTAATTATGTTAGGAAGATGTAATGATCATGCAAAACTATTTTTTCCTTCTCCACCATGTCTTCAAAGAGTTTTATGTTATATTTTAATTCAGTTTTCATTGTTTTAATTGTTAAATTGAATTGTTGTAGATTTTTTTAAATTGATAATTGATAATGCTTACTTTTTTTATTTACATGTATTGTTAATTGTTAATTTTTTTATTTCACTTTTAACAATTTAAATCATATTAACATTTTTTTGATTTGATAAATATGTTGATTTGGATCAATCAGATTAATTTTTTTTTTGTTGGATATATTTTGTTAAATTAACTTTTAATGTTTTAATTATACTTAACAATTTTTTATTTGATTAAAAAGCTGATGTGGACCAATTAAACCAAGTTTTTCCGTCCCAATCATACTTAACATTTTTTTTATTTAATGAAGATTCTGATATGGACCAATCAGATCGTGTTTTTTAATCCTATGTAATCGTCCTCAGTGCACTATATCATCAACTTTTATATATTATATGATTTATGCAAATTATCTTATAAAATTGTGAATGTTACCTTCTCAAAAATCAGATAAAAATTTAAGTGGATGAGATCATGTTGTACCGCCGTGAAAATAGTGTTCAAGCATGCAACATGTTTGGATCCTCGGTTACCCACAAGATCTTTACTATGAAGATCGTATGAATATATGTGTTTTAGATGTTTGCCTTTGTGTGATGGGTTGCCACGAGTTTACTTATGCTGATGTTTGGACTAAAAGGGAATCTTGAACTAAACTGTTTAGGGTGACAAAACCGGACGGCGTACTAAAGTTGAATTTTATGAGACATATGCTCTATTCCAAAGACAGTAGCAAGGCTTTGCTAGAGGTAAACATTAAAAAGCTCGTGTGATTTCATTTGGAGAGAAAGAGCTTTTAAACGCTTGGTATAGAGGGCTGTGATGATGGCTCATGGAGAGCAGAAATCGTTGTGAGTAGCCTTGTTTTGGGATGTAAAGGAGATCCTCTCAGGGATTGGGGAAAATAAAAGGATGCAAAAGAGTAACACAAGGTCGTAACCTTATTCTTTTGAGGATTGCAAATGGTGAAATGATCAACATGCTTAAACATATAATGTTACGATCTCAGGGATGGTTTTCTGTCCAAGGGATTCAAGCTGAAGTTATGAGCAAGGTAGAGGAACTTCCAAGCCCAAACCTACACTAAGGTAAGTGTAATGAATCCAATGGTCGTGAGTGTTTCCCTCAAATGGGTATTTTTTTAATATATATTAAGCCATTTCTTCTTTTCTTTTCGATGTGAGATTCCCAAACTTAACCTAGATCAATTATTTTGGAAGTGTTAGCAAGTGAAACTTGAGCCAACATCATAGGTTAACGTTTACAATTTAGGATATAACTGACTATTTATAGAGCTTTCATTAAATCCTAATCAGACATGAGGTCTTAATTAGTACTAATTCGCTTAACCTATGTCTTACGTATATGTCCTAAGATAAGATAGCGCAAAAGTTCAATTTAAGATCTAGGTTATCAAAAGGAATGAAAGAGCAAAGCATATGAATGTGTATTTAGGTCTCTCCTCTAGAATATACAAAAGGTTTATGTTTCGTGACTTTTAAAGGAACAAAAAGTTAGAGTATTCAAGTTTTATGATTATGAGCATGCGGTTGGTACAATGTCTTAATTTTTCTGAAAAAATTTGCTAATTTTAATTGGAAAATTGTACTGGACGACGAAGGGCTGGTACTGAATTAAGGATTTGACTATTGTTTTCTATAGTCTGAGCATTAAACTAATTTGCCATTCATTTTGCCCACGATACCCGCATGCGCGTCCAATCTTCCAACTCCTCAACCAAGTAGCACGTGGGGTCACACGAATGAGTTAATATATCTGTTACTACTTAATTCTGTAAAGCTACAACTATGTCCGATTATGGCATGAGTAACTGCTCATTTAATATCCCGCGTCCTTTCGGTTTCCGAACCCTAATCTCAGTTTTTCATTATCCATCCTCGAAGGCTAACTAAACGTCTACGAGCAACACCAGTTCTGAACCGCATCATACCCCGAAATTACTGCCGGCCTTTCAATTCTTCGCCCCACGGCTCGTCACTTGGCCAGAACTCTTACTCTGTCCCTATTGCTCCACCGCCGTACGTGCTCAATCCCATCGTTTCTATCTGTGGCAATTTCCGACTAATTCCGACCGATTAGGAAATCATCTCCGCTGTTATAGTCTGAGACCCGGAAGGCAGCAACTGATAATTCAGGTAATTTAAACTCCCGCCCTCTATGCTTAATCCGTATCTGATTACCCCGATATCCGGTGTCGATTATCGACGCCCGTTGTTATCCCCTGTGTTTGTTATCCAATTCGATGTAGTCTGTAAAGTTTGATCGAAGGGAGTTGAATCCCCCCATATGTGCTCCCATTTACTCTTCAAACCCGTCCGACACAACATGCAGTTTGTTACATAGGATTAATGTTCGTAGATCAGGTTTGCATTTACTGCCGTTGGAGCATTTCACACATTACGCTATAACGCTATCCTCATTTTTTAATAAGCATCCATTATCAGTATATAGACAACCACAGACATCGCCGATAAAATGCGGATTCGTTTTCATATCGTTATACTCTCTGCGATATAGACATCCATATTCTGTCATAGAGTGTTTACATTTGCATGTAACCACTAAGACTGATTCTTTGTTTTCTCTTCTTGTTGGCAGGGATGGAATCTAACGTGCTTCCACACCATCTATTCGCGGATCACCAAGAGCCCGTCGGTGACCGAGTGAATTCGTACTTCAAACTCGACACACTCGGGGTTATTTTAAAAGCCCTCACACCTGACGAACTTACCCTCATTCGGCCTTGCTTTGGGAAATTGCTCGACATGTATCACAAACCCGCTCACTCCGACAAACTCGCCCACTTTCTACCGACACGGCAGTTGAAGACCGATAGAAGGCATGAGCTATGGTTCATTTTTGGCGGCAAGCCGGTGAAATTCTCTCTCTGCAAGTTCGCGATTGTCACAGGCTTAAACTGCAAACCCATTTCACCCTCTCCTCGGGAAATGCTGAAGTGTAAACCCGGAAAAATTCCATACTGGTTCACTTTATTCGGGGGAGACGAAAATGTCACCGGCGAGAAACTGGAGGCAATGCTTAGGCGCTCCAAAAATCTGTCCAGCGAGATGAAGGTCAAATATGCATGTCTCCTCATAGTCGATGGACTGCTTTGCCACAAATCCGCGGGCATGAAGATCCCCAAAGATCACACGGAGATGATTCAAGACCTTGACTATTTTCTCAGCTTCCCTTGGGGGCGGTACTGCTTTGAGATGACTGTTCAATGCATCAAATCCCGCACCACCACTCAGCTAGCACAGGCTACCGTTGCCGTTCAGGGTTTTATTCACTCCGTCCAGTTGGTTCTTCTCGAGGCGGTCCCAGCAGTGCTGTTGACGATGGGGGAGGAAAACGGGAGTGAGTCAGAGGAGGAAGAGTGCGCTACGGCCAGCACTCTCAAACTAGATAAGCTGTGGGATCTCGATTCGTCGGGCCAGGTAAAACATGTATAAATTGCTGTAAACATTTATAATACACGATAACGTTTCATGTTTACGTACCCATCAGTCTTGTTTCAATTTTTGGATGTGCGGCGCCATATTAATTAATGCAGCTCGCGTATTGCAGGTTGCCGTGTCATCAATTATAGAAGTAGACACCGATGACATCCCACCAGACACGCTAGAGTGGCAAGACGAAGCCCCGGATCCGAAGGTTGATTACATGGAGATGTTAATTACAGAAGGAGCCGAGTTTTGCAGGGACTCTTTTATCGGCGGGGAAGTTGTCCATTCTCCACCCACACAATCTGCTGTCGTTAAAAACAGGAAAAGGAAAGGGCCGTCCATGCCGAAAGAAAAGCTTATCGTTCCTGTGCGAGCCAAAAAACTAATAGAAGGTCGTAACTCGGCAAAGGCATCCAACGAAGGAGATCCACAGCCCATTACCGCCGACAGGATAGCAGAGCTTATAGACGCTGCCATGAAGACGGTCCAATCAAAGATGGCCGACACAGTGGCCTCGTCGATGATGGCAATGGAGAGTAGACTGGAGCGGAGTCTGAATGACAAGATGTCTGCCATGCTCGCCGCGGCAGGTCGGGGCACCAGAGCTGACCAAGTTATTGGGGACGTCCTCAGAGACATCAACGCAGAGCAGGAGACAGATGGGATGACCGACGAATTAGGTGGGCGTAACAGGCAGACCGACGATCAGCACGACAGTGAAGAACCAAAGACTCAGGACATCGGCGACGGTGCTCCCATTACCGAACCAGTTACTGAACAGCTTGACGACCCTGCCCTCAGCACGGACAAATCTCCAGCCACCGACACTGAAGGCGATTCACAATTAATAAGACCCTCCTCCGACGTACTAGTAGAGGCGGACAACCCGAAATTTGCTGCATTAACCCACAATGTATCGCCAGACAGGTATGATTATATGTAAATATCTATGCGATTCCATGGATATCCATATACACGCATAAACAACTACAATAGTCCATATACATAGAGATATATAATTTTATATAACAGCTCACAACATAATGTAACAGTGCCTTTTGTTTTATAGAGTATTAAACATGGGTGGAGGATTGCTCATCATGTAGCAAGATGTTATTGATTTACCGCGGTCGATACCACTGTCCCGTCCAGAGGTAGGAACTAATTTTTATTACGTTCTGTAAGTCCGGACATCCTAACCTTCTTACTGCTTTACCTTCTTCTCCCGTAGGTTATGGATGCTTGTGTGAAGATTCTGCAGAAATGATGGCTAGCTTGCTCTACATCAACGGAAGATATGCGCTCTGATATACTCCCCAGTAGCTGGGCCGTGTCGATGGCGAAACTGTATCCCAAATTCAACAAATCAAGTCAGAAAGAGGCCTTTGATATCGGAAAAAATATCATGGATATGGTGTCGGCACACCCAAAATTATGGGTGAAAGATATTGATTTCGTCTATTTCCCATTTGTAGTGGATAAGAACAGATGGGTTGGCATCGTCATTGACATACTCTCCAACCGGATGATGGTTTTTGATTCGTCAGCAGCCGAGCGGCGTGGGGCGCAAATAGTTCATAAACAGGACCGAATAGTTCCAGACGTCAGTAGAACGTGCCGTACTCTGCGGCCACGATTATAGGTAGGTGGACATCTCCTTTACCAGCCGCCACAACAGCATGACAGCACGGGATCTTAAGAGTAGTAAACTCTTCGCATGTGCATGTTTTGTTGTGGAAGTCCACATGATAAGATAAACCCGTACGCGTTTTTACTTCGTAGTGGTCTTTGTTGATCTGCAGGACGTGCCAAGTCGTCGAACGTTCGTAGTTATTGTGGACGATTTTGCCAACCTTCGGAGTCATCAGCGACGTATGGTTACTTGCTACGTCCCTCCTTTTGTTGAACCATGACATGAGAGTTCCGCGTACGAATTCCAGCATAGATACGATATGTAACTCACAGGCTTCTTTTAGGGCGGCGTTTAGAGACTCCGCTACATTACTTGTCATTATGTTGTACCATTCATCGTCACAATGGGACCGTGTCCAGTGATGGAAGCCGATGATGTTCAAGTACTCCACACATTCCGGCGACAGCCCCTCGATCTCCGTGAAGTACTCGCGGAATGTCGATCTTCTGTAGGTACGAGCTGCTTTAGAGATCAATCCAGCCAAGAATTTGTTCTTGAACTTAGCCGTCACATTACGCTATAGATGCACGATGCAGGCACCGTGGATGGACCTTGGATATTCCTGACAGACCATGTGTCAGCACAGAAATTGGACACGAATGAGTCGTCGAAAATAACGAGCCATAAGAAATGATAGACTGTTATATGGGTTTGTACCTTGTATAAACCAGCATATATGGAGGAATGCCTATCTGAGACGAAGGTTAAAGTGTACTCATTAGGCACAATATGCTTCAACTGTTGGAAGAACCACTCCCACGCCTTATCGTTTTCTCCATCTACAACTGTAAATGCCACAGAGAAAATTTAGAAATTGCCATCCTGTGCACTCGCTGTCAACAAGCATCCGGAGTACTTGCCTCGAAGGTGGATCCATCGACGACGAGGACCTTGCGCATGAATTGCAACCCGCGGACACTGGCACCGAGAGCCACAAAGCAATATTTGAAGCGCTTGTGACCAGACGCATCATCTTCCGTCTCTATAGCAGTCCTAGATCCCGGGTTGTTAAGCTCAAGCAGATGCAGGTAAGCAGGTAGAAGGGCATAGCTACCAGCCGCTGAGCCGTTTGCCCTGTCTATTGCCAGTTCTCTCGATCTCCATGCTTTCTAGTACGAGATGCCGACGTTATGATCCTCGAGCATCACCCGCACAACCCCAACCGGGTTTGGCCCTCGCTGCTCACCCACGTACCGGTCCCTTATCATCTCGGAAATTACGGAGGTGGTGTCCTGGCGGTGAAACTGTCTACGCACATCGACAGGGCAGTTGTGAATCAGCGTGGCGGTCCTGATCTGAAAATACTGTGTATCTTCAATCTTTACAACGTACACCTTCCATGGACATGTGTCGGAGAGGCACCGCACAACCGCATATTCGTTGTTCGATCTTTCATTACGGTAACTGAACTTTCGATTTATAGCGTGGATAGCTATTTTGACTTTACAGTCCCGTTTTCTCTTGAAGACCCATCCTAAATACAGCTCGTCCCCCTCGTATGCCACATCTAATATTACATTTTCCATGCGATCTAAACCCGCGATAATCATCCATGTTATAAGTCAGCATGCGCGAATGGTTCCAGACAAATACATGTTCCTCGATATATATATAAATATATCTTTATTTTCATATTTACGATGCTTCTGTTTGTACACATGTATTTGTTAAAATAGATCGTTATACGACATTTACTGCGTACTAACGTAGTTTAATATCAATATACCAGTATAGCAACCTATATACAAATATAAATATGTACATTTTTCTACATACATACATTCAATAAGTTAATGCAACGACCTTCGTCATCCGAGTCATCTAGCACCGGGGCTGCATCCCTTGCAAAGGAAAAGGGAGGAACGCCTTCAGCAACCACACCAGCCGCCGGGAATGCGGCACCACTGCAGGAATTATCGCCAGCAGCAATCCCGCCAACTCCAGCTACTGCAAGGACAACGATGATTTAATTGTCAGGCATCAGACGAAGGCCATTCAAGTTTTCACTGATTAAGTGTGAGGCTTGTTTATATACCACATTTTTTGCAGTAAATACAATCTACAAATGTGTCATAGTTTGTTTGTTAGCCTACCCATCTCTGGATCTGCGTTAAGTTAGAAATTGGATCAATAAAGCCCCGCCCAAATAAGCTTTGCCATGAGTGGATCAGGTCCTTCTAGGCAATCCCGTGAAGGATATAACACCATTCCTTTTGCCCCCCTCACGTGTGCTCACGCCCTCGATGACATCTGCCACATTAACTATAGAAATTATTACTATCGCACATCCACACCGCCATGTAGACATGTATATGTATACTTACGGTCGATTACGCCACGCGGGAAAAAATCATGAGTAGGGTGACGCCTATCCGTCATCTCGGCAACGTCTGGTAGCCTTCGATCCGTCTCTGGCTGCACCGATCCGTCGCCCCCGCCGTCGACCATTATCTCTATATCTCTTCTATGACCTTCATTGCCCTGTGATGCACCCAACCTATAGGTGAGCCAGGACACTGTCACTCGCCGGCTACTTTCCCCCTCGTCCGGTGTTTCCCTTGATGCCTGAGTCCCATGAAAGTTGTCGCTGCTGCTTCCAGATGGCACATCCATCGCGAGGAGCCCACTTGGACGCCTCAGAACAACCTCAGCCAACGCAAAACCATGCGTTACCGGAACCACCGAGAACCTCTCTATATCTAGAGTCATGTTTTTTGGCATAGGCACCATGTATAGCTTCAGCTCGTGGAGATCAACCCACATAGCTCTGCGTCGTTTCGAATATGAACTGGCAGCGGTTTTCACAATACCGTCTTCGTCCATCCACTCTGGCATTTCGTACGTAAGCTCAATGTTCTCCTCCTCCATATTTATGTTTAGCTCTCTACAAACTATCGATTTCACCGTACCTACCCCTTGGCCCTCGCGCAGCCGTATACCCTTGCTAAGCCTGTCCTCCAATAAGAAGAAGAAGAAGAAGAAAGGCTGCATTAAAAAAAATCAAAAGATATGGTTGATTCTAGGGACGGATGGTGAGCTGGGCTCGGAGATTAAGGACGTCATTGATGAAATAGGGACAGTCCGTAGCAATGAAACTATCCCACGATGTCGAAAACAAGTTCGTGATACCAACACCTATATTTGCGGCGAACTTAAAGTTTCCATAGTGTTTAAAGGCAAACTCATCTGTTGGCTTCGACCTCGCTGAGAACTCGTAGTCCACAATCATACTCGTTGGTGCATTTTCTTGCGTCCCAAGAAACAATCCAAAACAGTGAAGCGAATTCATCTGGTCCAGGTTGCAATTACCACTTGTCCTCCTAAGTCAATCCGTTGAGAAAATACCCGCCCTGACGGATACATGGCTGCACATTCTTTGCGTTGCAAGTCCATGTAAACGATGCATTGTTGGCGAGGAACCTCGAATTCCACAATCTTGATGGGTCTTAATGTGTAGTCTCGTTTAATAAACCGGTCCTTTAGGGGGGTGGGTTGTTCAGTGGCTGAACTGTCTCGATGGTGCGGCGGTTCTATCTTGTGGAGAAGAGCTTCAACGACTAGTTTCGATACGACCTTAGGTTTGAAGTCGTCTGAGGTCAAGATTTTCTTGAGCCTGAGGGGTGACATGTGAGGGAAACGGATGAAGCGAGCGAGATGTGTATCCATGATCTCGCTGCGTTCTTTTACATCTGAGTAATGTGATCTTAACCATTTCAAGACAGCTTCGTATACAATGTTTTCAGACGGAACCATTAGATCGTTGCTCGCTAGTATTGCCTTGAAACCTAGTAACGGTAAAGCCATCACCTCACTCATTGGAAACCTATCAAAATGTGAGGATGCATTTGTTTCAAAAAATATATATACAGAAGAAAAGAATGCTTTGAAAGTTTGAGAGGATAAAAAAATAAAAGGCATACATACTTTGTTATATCCTTGTAGCGCAAGGCGATGAATTGCTTTGCGGCATTTGTCAGAGGCTTTACGGAATCAGCCATTAGCAGAGTAGAAGGAAGATCAAGAAGAAGCAATGCAGAGTCTAATGTCATTGGCATATTCAGCAACAAATGGTTACAATGCTTCATACACGAAGCTACCTCAAACTTGTCTGCGGCCATTAGAACATCGAGCAAAGCAGGGGTCGTCGTCACTGTTAGTGAATTGCTATACATGAACTTCAAGAGCTCCATTACTGCATCTTCCTCTGCACACATATGGAAATCCCCAAATTTAAATTTCATAAATGATATCACCAGAAAGATATCACCAAAGTATTCAAATGTTATAAAGGGCTGTGATGATGGCTCATGGAGAGCAGAAATCGTCGTGAATAGCCTTGTTTTGGGATGTAAAGGAGGTCCTCCCAGGGCTTGGGGAAAATAAAAGGATGCAAAAGAGTAACACAGGTCGTAACCTTATTCTTTTGATATTTTAGGATTGCAAATGGTGATATGATCAACATGCTTAAACATATAATGTTACAATCTTAGGGATGGTTTTCGGTCCAAGGGATTCAAGCTGAAGTTATGAGCAAAGTAGAGGAACTTCGAAGCCCAAACCTTCATTAAGGTAAGTGTAATGAATCCAATGGTCATGAGTGTTTCCCTCGAATTGGTATTTTTTTAAATATATATTAATCCATTTCTTCTTTTCTTTTCGATGTGAGATTCCCAATCTTAACCTAGATACATTATTTTGGAAGTGTTAGAAAGTGAAACTTGAGCCAATATCATAGGTTAACGTTTACAAGTTAGGAGAAAACTGACTATTTATAGAGCTTTCATTAAATCCTAATCATATATGAGGTCTTAATTAGTACTAATTCGCTTAACCTATGTCTTACGTATATGTCCTAAAAAGATAGTGCAAATTATTGTTCAGTCTAAGATCTAGGTTATCAAAAGGAATGAGAGAGCAAAGGATGTGAATGTGTATTTAGCTCTCTCCTCTAGAATATACAAAAAGGTTTATGTTTCGTGACTTTTAAAGGAACAAAAAGTTAATTAGAGTATTCAAGTTTTATGATTATGAGCATACGGTTGACAGTGTCTTAATTTTTCTGAAAAAAACTTTCTAATTTTAATTTCATTAATTTGAGAATGTAGACCAAACTGGTTCTTTTTATATTTGGGAAACGTTTCGTTCCCACAGGTTGAAAAAAAGAGACTTGTGACTAGTTCTATAAAGAGGTTTTTTGCTTGGATCTTAGGGAGACAGTTAGATGAGAACCAATATATTCATCAGTAGTTGATGATGGAGAAGAGTGCGGAATCTCTGTTTTCACCTATAAAGAATGGTTTTTCGTTGGTGAAAAGTTCCGTGCTAGACAAGTTGATTTGGAAGAAGTTGTTTCTAGAAGTGGGAGTTGTCTTTGCGGCTGCTATCGCATGTGGAACTGTGTTTAGAGTAAATGATAACATACTCTGGGCTGGGATATGTTAAGAAGCGAATAGTAAACTAAAATAAAAACACAAAAATTACGTATGTCACTTGTTTTTATGCTATTATTAGTTGCTTTCTAACTCAATAATAAAAGTTAGATAACGCTATGTTATAGATCTCGTATACAAAACTAAACATACAAATATAGATTTTGGTGGTGGTGGTGACTGGTGAAAAAGATGATCAGAATGACCTACTTTTTTTTTTGTTGAAGCTCGGAAGTCTCCCAAAATTATTATAAAACCAATTCAACCATACAACAACTTGTTTTGGGCGCGCAGTTCCAACTCATCCTCACTAAGAGTAGACATTAAACAAGGCGGGACTGAGTCTAAAGCCTGAAAACCTAACGGAATAGTAAAAGTATAATAATATAACCATTCGAATCTGCATAAATACTGAAATTTAAAAGAGTAAACAAACAACTACAAAAATGTTTCTTCCTTTTCTTCTCGATATGCATCCCCTCTCTCCCAAAAAAAACTCCATTTCAATTACATAACTTCTCTTATCCCTTAATTATCATTGTTGCTGAGAATCACAGTATTGTGAGTACTTACACCTGCAAGGACTATTCCTCACCTGAAAGCGAATGCTGATAAAGACCAAGAACAATAAGCAAATACTGTTGGCTGCTTGTTCTTCACATATTTATGGAGCAGAGTTTCAGAGGTCACGAGATGCATGACGTTTTTTGGTGGTTTCTGAGTTGACTTAATGATATCTTAGCCTGAATTGAAATTCATCATTTGCATCGTCAACATTAAGATCCTCCAGGTTGCCACTAAGATCCTCTACATGATCTACAACGGTGTTAACATAATGACCCACAAACTCTTGAACGTGTCCTTCAAAACCTTGCATATCAACACGTTGGAGTGTGTTCCTCTCGGGATTAAAGTAGAAACATAAATTTTTCTAAATGTTGTAAATCTAATTGACAAAACAATTTCACCCAAAGCAGTCACTCCAGCTACGAAAACATAATCAACTGGTTCGTTACCCGGCAAAGTGTAGACATACTCTGACCATTCGTGTTTCTCGACATCCTCTAGAACCCACATACGCATCACACGTGTACCAATCTCATCATCACCTCACTGCCATGGCCAAAGAATCCCACATAATTTACCCTTATAGTCTATCAGTTTAGGTGGGGGTAATCTCTGCAAATCGAAGCAAGATGCGTCAATAATCTTGAATTTCTCAGACCTCACGTCAAAGCAAACTATCAAAGGACTCTCAACAGCCTTTTCAGCAAAGAGATACAAAACCCCTTTGATACATATCCCTCCTTGCATAAGAAGATGGCTTGAGGGACAAGGGATCTTCCTCCACCTCATGTCTCCACTTCCTAATGTCAGAACTCTATGATCGTCGCTTTCATCATAACCCATGGACAGTACCTTGAACTGCTTGTCGATCGGATCAAACCCTAAATAGCTTTTTGATTTATCGCACCTTTTCAACTTAGGTAATCTCCTACACTGTCTTGTGCTATGGTTACATATCGCATGCACTACATACTCTTTTGGGGTTTCCGAATGATTGAAAGAGAAGCAGATCAAACCAGAGGCATAACCACAAAAGCGTGGATCATTCCGCGAGTATTTAACGAAGTCGATATGAAAACGGGCGTCCACTACAAGAGACGACGGCTTCTCATATGGGTTCTGAGGCTGACAGGACGAGAAGAAGAACGACTGATCATAATTTCTAAGGATGAACAAGAGACGTGGACGAGCCGAGTACGTGGTCAGGAACAAAAAATGTAAAATTTGCTACGTTTATTTACAATAACTGCCACAACGTGCCAACTAATGAAATGACAGGTTCTTTATTATTTTTTAGCATAGATGTATGGGGCATATAATTATTGTTATAAGTATAGGTGGTAAATAACCACTTACAGATCTATAGATGAATAAATGCATAAGTTTAGCCTAAATCTGAAAAATAATTATTGATTTTGAGTTCGATTATAATGTCGTAGGTGTTGCCGCTGACCACGTTGGGGGAGACGCCCCTCGTGATACTGAATTCTCGGGGGCTGTTGATGGGAAACCCTCATGCATTTCTAGTACTTGATCACTTAGAGAATGACGGTACATTTTGTATACGTTGCAACGTATGTGTATATTATATTGCAACATGTTATTTGATATGATGGGGATTTATGATAATACATATGTACAGTGAGTAAACATGTAAGTTTGTAAAAGTGTTATAGTAGTCTACTGACATTGATAAAGGATTATTATCGTGTTTGGAAGGTTATTTGGTATGATAAGTGGTTATTGTACGAACTAGATCACATAAATTATATTATAGCTGACTGCTGTTTTTTTGGTATGATGAGTGTTGTTTAAGCTGACTGCTGTTTTTTTGGTCGAACTGATTTATAATTAATAGGAAGAAAAACGATTACACTCCATCAGCTGAGGAAGCAACTAAGACTGACAGCACCGATTTAGCTAAAGCGTCTGCTAAGGTATTATTTGTCTTAACAATTTAGTGAAAAGAAATAACAGAAAATAAAAGGATAGCTGCTTGAATATCTGAGAGGATCCCTGAAATTTCAGGCAGAAATTCTCCAAAATTGATAAGGTGATGAGGACTTGGGAGTCCGGATTCACTTGTAGTCGCAAGATTCAGAGACTAGTGATATTTAACCCTATCACGAGACAATATGCGAGCTTACCTAAACTGCACAGAGAGTGGAGAAGCTTTTTAGGGTTTGATCCCATTGACAAGCAATTCAAGGTACTGTCCATTGATGAAAATAGGATGATTATAGAATCCTGACATTAAGATCTGGAAAAATAAAGTGGGGGAAGATAAAATGTTCCTTAGCCCATGATCCTTGGAGTGAAGAGATATGCATCAAAGGGGTTTTGTATTACTTAACTAAAAAAATGGACGAAAGGTCTGATATGATAGTTTACTTTGATGTTAGGTCTGAGAAATTCAAAGTCATTGAGGTTGAATGCTGTTATGAGAAATTGATAAACTATAAGGGTAAATTAGGTGCATTGTATGTAAGTATGATGGCAATACATGTGAGTTGTGTGTGCGGATTCTAGCGGATGTGGAGAAACAGCATGTATGGTCGAAATATGTCTACACTTTAGAACTGGCTAACCACAGCTATGTTTCCGTTTCTGGGGTTGAAGCTACCGGTAAAATTGTTTTTGTCTGTTTACTTCAAATCAAATTCACCGTTTTATGTTTTCTACTTTAACCCCAAAAGGAAGACCTTCCAACGTGTTGAAATCCAAGGTTTTTTGGAGAATACTATGATGAGAATCCTCACTTTGTTCATGCCTTTGTGGACTATGTAGAGGATCTTCATGCTACCGATGGAAAGTACCTCAAGTCAATGCCTAAATATCAGTACGAAAAGGCCTAAATATCATTAGAAACTCTGCTCCATCTTCGAAGAATAAACAGCCGACAACCTCCATGCTGAACAAATACGAATTATTAGAGTGAGTAAGGACAGGTGTTGATTTGTTGTTGGCTAATCCTATCCTGGAGGCCAAGCGAAATTAATGTATAAGAAGAGAGTCTAGCTACTTTTTGCTCTGAGTGTGACTTCTCTCCTTTACAGGCTTGGTTTAAGCTCTCTATCACTTTACCATGAATTACCACTGATTGGTAACGTGAATTACCATTCATTTTGTTTGCAATAATAGTCTAACTCAAAATTGTCACCAATCATGAATTATTTTTACTTTTTTTTTGTATTAAATTTTGAGTTACAATGTACTAT